CCGCGTGAGTTAATGTTTCAAGTTTTTTGTTTTGGCTCCCATAGCAACCCTTTATGGAATGTTCTCTGAGGGGATTCAATGTATAGGAAGCAAACTTTTTTGTTGTAGTAACTGCATTTTAAGATCAGGATAGACTATTTGTACCATTTTTAATATAGTTTTTATTGCTTTTAAAATAATAACAGAAAAAGGAAAAACAAAGGGATTATTATATAGAGAACTGTAATTATTATTGTAATGACATTATGCGCTATATTTTTATTTTTACTGTTGTATTTTTCTTCATTTTTAATTACTTGTTCTGTATTTTTTTTATAATGTATGCATCTTTTCATTTTACCATTAAGTTAGTTTACCATTTTTAAAACATCTTGCCACTTTACCAATAAACTATTCAAGCTTATTCTACTTGAGCTCAGGAAAAATGGGAATTATACAGATCCTATGAAGTTGCCTGAGGACTGGCATGGCAATCTGGGAAGGCTTGATCCATAGGTAATGGCTTGTTTCAACGACAATTTTTTTAGATAAACTAGAAGGGCTGAATTCAGATATAATACTTAACCGTAAGAAAACAAACTACATTATGAGTTAGTGTGACATCCAATAATAATGGCTTCGTGTTGAGGCAATACAGAATAAGCAGATATATATTTAATGAATTTCTCTTTAAGATGAAGACTTCCAACAATTAAGTATAATAAATAACTATATTATTCATAACAGCAGAAGAAGTAGCTTATATTGAAGAGTAAATGTCTTTAGTACACATGCATCATGATGTAATGGACTCTATAGCTATAATAAAGAAAGCTTTAACAAAATAAATGTTACTTGTTTCTTGTCTACTAAGAAAAAGTTTAATAACAGCAGCCTATAGCATAAAAATCTGGTCCCTGTTTTCTAGAACCATGCAATAACATTAGGAAGATATAAAGAAGGTAACAAAATAATCTCTACAACCCTCACCTTATGAAAAAAGCAAAAATGTCTCAGTTTAATACTTTACTTTAAAATATATTGAGACGAAGTATATACTACGGCATTTTCCTTCATCATGCTAGAAGTCAGTTTACTCAAATTCATTGGCAGCAAGCTCAAAAGAAACAAAATGAAATATTATTTAACAGGATGCGTAACTGATGCATTGAATCCACTGATACCGAAATCAGTAATGGCTATTAGCTTGAATATCAATAACATCATGAAAAAGATTATCTATCAACAGTTATAACGATGTTGACCAATTGAAACTAAGCTGTTGGCATTTGTTCTGCCCCAGCTACGGACCCCAAAGAACGCAGCACACACAAACTCTATACAAAACTTATTTTACTAAAATAACTTAGTCTTTATCATTCAAAGGCTGTTAACGAACTGTCTTAACAGCCTACCAGAATTCTAAGATAAGGTAATCACAGTCTTACTAGAGTTGGCAGAAAGCCCAGAAGCAATTTTGCAGACACGAAGAAGAGTGAACTAAAGTTGTTCTCTACAGCTTGTTGCAAGCGGTGTTCCTTCTTAAATAGGCTAAGGGAGTGGCCAATTAGGCCCAAGCCTTACTCTCAAGGAGACCTCCTCCTGAGGAGCCACTCCTGCCTTTTGGCAGTTAAGCGCCCGTGCATTGAGAAGAGGCTCCTCCTCTTCGTCCTCTTCACTTAAAGGAGCTTCTGGAGGTTCTGAAGGCCCTGGCTGAATCCCTGCCTCTGGCACCACATCTTCTACAGCCTCCTCACTGTCTGACTCGAGCGCCAGCTGCACAGGCTGCTGACGCAGCACCACACTAGCCTCGTTGTCGGAATCAGCTACAATCTGCACAGGCCGCTGACGGGCCACAACAGCATTATGGAAGTGGACAGGATCTCTTGAAGCCTGTTCCCAACCTCTACCTACTATGGAAATCATTATGCTGTAGCTTCAAAAGGCCTGGATCAAGTAGATTACCTGGATCCCTTTCATCAGGTTTTAGACCTAGGCACAGCATTGGCTACATTTGTTAATGACCTGTGAAGGGACCTGGATGGATGTGATGTGCCAGTTGAGCCCATTTCCGGATGGGGAAACCCTGCTGACAGTCATTCATGCCTTTGTCACCTCACAATTGGATCACTGCAATATAAGGAGCTGCCCTTGATGACCACTTGGAAACTTCAGCATGGATAATTAAGGGCATAATCCAATGGGTCCATGTGATATCTCTATTTTGTGAACTGCAGTGATTACCAGTCCACTTTCTGGATCCAATTCTAGGTGTTGGTTCCATGAAGCAGAGCCAAGCTACTCATCTACTTCCATCTACTCATTTACTTCCAATTATTTCTTTCCATCCAGTAAGAATGGATAAGGTTGGCATGTTCCATTCCTTAGGCAATACCATCTCTGTGAAGCAGGAGACATGCCTTCTTTATTGTCCTAGTGGCCTTTTGAACAACATTCCTCTGAGATTTGTCTGGTTCTGAGACGGCCTGCTTACCTTTCAGAAGCTATTAAAGTTCTGACTACTTTTCAAGCATTGGTTCTGGTAAAGGTCTGACTCAGTGGAAGTTTTTTTTCACACGTGTTTCCAGTTTAGTTTATGGTTTTATGCTTAGACGATAAGGAGGAAGGCCTGTCACTTATATTGACATTTTTTTAAAAAAATTTGATTTATATGCCGCCCTTCTCCGGAGACTCAGGGCGGCTTACAATGTGCTCAGCAATATTTCAATTATCTTACATTTCAAGTATCTTACTTCTAGAAGTCTTTTCCAAACATTCATTTTTTATCAAACTTAAATATAAGAAGCAACCTTCAATTCTCGTAATTATAACCACTCTAGCTCATTTTTTGAATCACATATATGAACACATATTATATAATTAAGATTCACAAAATAACTTACTTTCTTGTATTGCATTAAGAATCTCTGAAAAGTCCACATGTGTCTTCTGAGCATCAGGCCTTATTGGTATTGGTGTTTCCAGCTCACAACCATGACATTGCTCTCTTCTATCTAAAGAAATTGAAGAGAATTAGGGGGAGTTTGCAACAATTTAGTAGTGACTGCAACAGCAATGAATGGAAAAGATACCATAGCAGCAACTATTGTGTATTTATTTTTGCGTATATAATAGTGCAGGGAAATATCAGTCAAACAAACACTCCCAGCAGCATACATGAATCAAAACAGCATGTGAAATTAAGTCATGATACAAAGATCATGATTATCAACTTGTGTCATAATATATTTTGTTGGAATTTCTTTAAAGTAATTACACACATGTTATTATTTGCCTTCCTTACCTCTCCATAGACATTTGTTCTCACCGGCTACTTAGAAAGTGACAATATATTTGACTAACTCAGGAGTCAAATGCTATCTGTTTGCTCCGGTTCGGGAAAACCGGTAGTGATAAAAACTACCAGTTCGGGTGAACTGGTAGTAAAAAAACCCCTACCAATTCGGTTGAACTGGCAGTTTATAAAGGTACCGGTTCGCCCGAAGTTAGCTACCGCTTTGGGCGAACCGGTAGTTAAAAAAAACTACTGTTTCCTCCAAACCGGTATTTCCGATGATCAGCTGTGCAGTTTGTTTCAGAAAGAAGTAAATATTATTTTTTATCATGTCTTCAAAACATAAAATGAATGCTGGATGTTATGGCTTTCATGATTGGAGGTGATTATTCTATATTTGTTATTTTATTTTTAGTAGGCTGCATATAAATAGTTTTAAATAAATAAATAATTTGTCATTCCATGTACTGTTTTAATATGCTTGTTTGACTTTCTGTCACTCATATGACAAAGCAAATGTTTATTTTCCACACAAGAATGAGCTATGCTGTTAGGGGAATCCAGGGGTGTAATTTTGCAAAATAATCTGCAAAATACAAGAATGATGAAAACACTGTGATTTTATAGTATATTGAACACACAGCTCTATATGGAAAGTAAATTGAGAAGTAGCTCAGAGCTACCTAAAGGAAATCCATAAGTAATATTTGTATGAAAATGTCTTACCTCTTCAATAGATTCTGCTTTCTAGCAAAGCTAAATCACGTGCCATAGCTGATCCCCCCCCCCGCCTTGCTGTTCTACTTACCTTCCCAAGCCTCCTTTTGGCATGTACTGCGCGTGCGTGTGCACGCAGCACATACCAAAAAGAGGCTTGGGAAGGTAAGTAGAACAGTGGGGGTGGGGGATCAGCTGTGCAGAAGTTTAGCTTTGCTAGAAAGCAGGAAATCCTACTTTCTAGCGAAGCTAAATTGCACGCCACAGCTGACCCTTCCTCGCTTCTACTTATCTTTCCAAGCCTCCTTTTGGTGTGCACTGCACATGCAGCACGCATTTGGTGCACAGTGTGCATGCGCGGCCAGCGAACCAATAGCAAACCGGTTAGGATCTCACCACTGGACTAACTGCATTTGCAAATTAAATCGCTGTTCCAAAGCACATCCCTTTAGCCAGGGAATATTGTTTAGCTTTTCTTTGCCAAAAGTATACAAAATGTAGCATTACAATATACAGTATGGAAATTATTTTGAACCAGTAAAAATTGTACTACTTAACAAAATTTTACAAAACATAACAGAGGCTAAATTATCAATTTTCCAAAATTTATTATTGATAAATCATCTTTTCACATGTGCAGTTTTAATAATTTATGTTAAAAGGAGTTATTTCTGCACATATACTGCAATACCAAATAAATGTAATCAGGATCTAAATTAGTCATAAATATATTGCCCGCCAAAGCTCTGGAAACTGAAGACTGATATATTCCTAATATATAGTTGTAGCAGAGAAGAGCTAGCATCAACAAGGTTTCTGTGTGTATGATATATAATGATACAAGCATAATGATGTCATCACACAAAAACTGCTATGCATATTTTGTAAGTATGTCATAATGATGTTTGTGTGATGACAACATTATATGCGTCTGATAATTTTGCCCTCTTTGGATCTATGAATACTGCTTGCAAAGAAGTGAGGTGTCTTGGTCATCATCACACTATCAAGCTTGCCAAATTCATCCCTGGATCTCCAGACATTACTAGAAGTTGTGTAACTCTAGTGCTAATTTAACATTGAAATAATAGCAAGCAGAAGAAGAAAGACAATAAAGAAAGGTAAGTTGCAATATTACATGAGGCTGAGATCCACATACAAAACTGGCACTTATTTGTTCAAACAAAGATAAAGGGACAAAGAATGGGGACACATAGTTGTAAAGTCAGCACTGCAGATAAGTAAACTATGCTGGCATAACTGCACTCTAATTTCCTTGCCAATGCTATCTATCTGATTCCAGTTTTCTGATTTTTTTTAGTACAAGCCTAAATCTTAGGATCAATCAGACAAAATCTGTATTTTGTTCTCCTTGTTTCTATGAGAACTTTAAACCTTCTTTAAAGTTTAAATGACAAAAAAAAACCTTCCTGATGACAAAAAAAACCTTCTAACTTCCTCTCCTTCCCAGTCCCCCCCCCCTCTCCCATTGGAGGAGGGCAGGAGTTTAGAAATATAATGTAAGACTCTTTGTGTTCTGATAGATCACTCATTTAAGAGTCAAGAATTAACTTGAAGGCTCCTGGATCTTCTACCTTTCTGCCTTTACAGTGAGACTAGGTGAGTGAAACTGAAAGTATAAGGGTTCCAGATTCAGAGAAGCTTTTCAGAAGTTTAGAATTCTTATTTTAAACATAAATCATAATAAAGCTTTGGCACTGGCATTTTATATTCTCTACATTAAGTGATCTATATTCCATGAAGCATTATGAAAATTCATTTTGTTATTGCAAAATTCTGTATAATTAGGTTTATAAATTGTATCACAAATACAATTTATACTAATGTATTAATACTTGTATAAAATGTACAAGTGCACTGGGAAATTAAGACAAACTAATACAGTCAAAAGTGGACCGTCACCCCCTTCCACTAGCAGTATGTATAAATATAATACCAAGCCCAACATTAGGTCTACCAAATTAAGTTTGCAAAAATATGCTCAGCTACTAGGGATAGCAGAAAAATGTGGCCCCAACAGTCAAGTATAATAAATAATTATAAATTATAACAATGAACTATGATTCATAATTTCCTTAGGATAAGTAGCAGAAAAATTTTAGCACGAAAAATACTGAGGGTTAAATGTCTTTCCACCTGTCCAATGTTCTACTGGACTCCATATCTACAATAACAAAACTAAAAAAGAGAGAAATTTAGTTATGTACTGTATTTCTTGTGTATTAAGAAAATAAAGCAAATAAAAACAGCCTATGAAATTAAAAAATGATTTTAGCTCTAGTAACCATTTTTCTAGAATGATGTCCCAGCATTAGGAAGAGACAAACATGGTAACAAAAAAATAATTTAACTCCTACTTTATAAAAGAAAACAAAAAGTGTCTCAGTTTAGCAAGAGAAATATTGGACATATATTTAATTTATATTGGAAATATAAATTAAAAACACCCTGAGAAAGGATGTATATTTTTTTCTTCATCATGCTAGAAATTATTTTGTTCAATTAAATTGATTTGCAGGAGTTTCAAAAGAAACGAAAGAAAGTATTATTTCACAGATTGTGTAATTGATATATTGAATTTATTGATACTGGAGTCACTACTGACAATAGCCATTAGTTCAGATTGTAGTAAAATCATAAAAGAGATGTACATCAACAGCTATGACAATAATGGCTGCTTGAAATTTAATATTTGAGTATTAAGTGCAAGCAGATACATAGGATGAGAGGCAGCTATCACTTTCATTGTTACTGTGCTTGTAAGACATTAGGGCTTTCTAAAAGAAAACTATAGATAATATAATGCAGTTGCTAAATAGATTAGATTTATGTTCTTTTAATTTATCCTGAAAAATTAATAAATTATTTTTGTATAATTTCCACTGCAAGAAATACTCATTATTCATAAACAGTTTATGATAACAATGCAATTGCTACTGAAAAATGAAAAAGAAAGAATTTTTGATCTGACTCAGTTACAAAATGATGTAACTCAGTCACATTCATATTTTATTATTAGTTATTAGCAATTGTTATGAGCAGTTCTATTTGTTGGGGGTATTCAAAACATGCTGTCCTTTAATAATTTTTACTTTTTAGAAGTGTTGCATTATAGTATTATCGCTGTTTTGCATATGATGTGGTCATAGGATGAAAAATAGTTAATTGCTAAAAACAAAGAAATGTACTTTTTTCAGTGAGATAAACTATAGCAATATTTTGAACAGGCATTCCATCCAAATGCTGAATCCAAATGTTTTCCACACTGAAACTAGCATACATTCCATATTTAGATGCACAACTAAAATATGCTTCCTGATAACTGCATACTTGACTTTCCAGCATTCTTACAGCAATGTTTATTCCCAGCCAAACTTTCAACACAGTTGAAAATGCACATTTTGCCAAATGGGCTAAATAAGGCAACATTTCTGTTTCTTGCCTTTTTCTTTCTCCTTTACAGTTCATACCAGCAACATATCTCCTAGCAATTGAAGAGGTGGATTTCCTCCACGTCTTTAACCCCCATTACCTCTATGCAAGATTTGGGCAATGGGAATGCTGCCTACATTCTTAAGTTAAATATCTTTCACATTTGATGTTTCAAATCATAATTGTGATAGAGGAGAATATTTGTACCTCAGCATTGAAATGAAGGGTTCTTGGTACTCTCGAAGCTTGGTTGTTTTCTTGTAGATGTTTCATTATCCAAACTAGGTAATATCATCAGTGCAATAATTTGGTAATGAAATATCAGCAAGAAAACAGAGAGCACCAAAACTTCTCAATCATAATAGCATCATGGAATATGTCAAAGTTGGATGAAATCAGCAGACAAAGCTGACCTTTCTTCCAGGTTTGATTTAAGTATGTTCAAGGTCTTTTCAATAAACCTATTGAGTTTAAGAGCTTTCCCCCTCTCCTTATCCCTTATGTTATGGGCACCATTATGAAAATGTCATAGAAAATAAAAGATTTCCAGTTGTAACATATAGCTCTGAAAGCTGGACCATCCAAAGGCTGAATTTTTTTAAAAAAAATGCCTTTGGACTATGGTACTGTAGAAAACAGTTGAGAATACATTGGACAAAAAGTGTGAATAACTGAATATTAAATGAAGTAAAACCAGACTAATTAATAGAAATACTAATTATGAAGCTAAAATGTATACATTTAGGGAACCTAGTGTGCAGGAAAGTAAGAGTCATTGGAGAAGATTCTTGGGAAAATCCAGGGCAGTTGAAAAAGAGATTGATAGAATATTATCAATGATGACCAAAGCACAAATGTAAAAGAGCTCAAAGAAGTAGTTACTGACAAACAATCCTTGCAAAATGATGCTCATCGGGTTATTATGAGTCAGAAACAACCGAACAATGGCAAATGTATAATTGGTAAAAATGTCAAAAGAATCTGTATAAAAGGGTTATGGGAAATTCAAATTTGGTATAAAGGGAGTATTTTCCCCCTAACCCTTATACATTTTAGGATGGGTTGAGACTACATGCATGATGGTGACCCCCAGGGGGAGGGCCTTCTCTGTGGGGGCTCCCACCCTCTGGAATCAACTGCCCCCAGAGATAAGGAGAATCCAAGACCTTCGTGCCTTCCGCCGTGCCCTTAAAACTTTCCTTTTCCAACAAGCCGGGCTGGCCTAACAAATCCTTTTAAATGATTTTAAATTTGTTTGTCTTTTTAAATTTTGGGCCAAATTGAGTTATTTCCTTTTAATCTGTTCTTAATTTATGTATTATGTATTATGTATTTATGTGTTTTTACTCGGCTGTACATCGCCCTGAGTCCCTAGGGAGAAGGGCGGTATATAAATTTGAAGTAAAATTAAAAATAAATAAATAAATGATAAAGGTGAAATCATAGGCCGTTATTTAGACAGACAACTTAGAACATGTCAGAAAGATAAGGGCAATGACATTTATTGTCTTTCTTCCACTGAAGCCAAAATCACAGAAAATGTAATATAAATATTATATAGGTAACGTATAGGAAGTAAATAGTAGCAAAAGAATTAAACATTCAGCATTTCTATACAAATATCAGGAAAAATTCCAGGAAGAAAGAAATTATTATTATTTCCTATAATTATGACTAGAAACTACCATTTACGAAACAAAACTTTCTCACTATCCCTTCCTATCCCTCATGTCAATCCATGATGATTCAGAAGGTCACAAATTTGATCTAACTGGGACAACAGTTGTAAGTAACCCAGGCAAAATCAAGGAGAGAGAGAATTCCTTGAAGCCTGGTTTTCCACCAATAATTCAATAAACAGGCACATTGACATCGACCCAGTCTACCAATTGCTGAGAACGAAAGAACTGCATCAACCATGATCCCAAAGGTAGCATTTAAAAAACGAACAGGCACTCCACTAACACAACAACAAAATTATAACCCATCGTCTCAAAAGAAATCGGTCCACGTCTCAGATGAACCCAGTTAAACAACTCTAATTCTAATCTGCATCATACAGACAGTACTTAACTTTAGCCCAGCAACAACAGCCAGCCAATCAAACAGTCCGAAATCAGATCATGACTCAGAAATATCCGAACAAACAACATTCAGACTAATTTGCATCTCATAAAAAGGTATTTAAAGACCTGAATTCTAACGGACGAGCACAATTCAAAACACATTGACAATGTCTCCTCAAATGGTGATGAAACATCTGCAACCAAATTGCCAAGCTCAGCTCAAACCAACAGCCTAATTACCAAGCCAAGCTACTAATATTCAAACACATTTCAAAACTTCCTTATGTCTAGCCTCTTCCTCCCAGTTTGGTACTGATGATAAATGGAATGTTTAGAAATAAATGTGCCAGTTATTGGAAACAGGTTTATGAGATTTCAGGAGGTTTCAGATTTAGATTTAACTGATTTTGGACAAAGCTCATTTTGATTCAGAAATTTGTTGGATGAATGCAAAACATACTTCTAGAAAATACCACATGCTTCATAAGTAAAAGTAGCTAGAACCACTGTCCTCTTCACAAATTTAGAAATTTAGAAATACTGGAATTATGATTTTAATACTTAAAAACAATTTTTAAAACTTAGCCTCATTTATAGTTCTAATTCATTGCCGGCTGTTGTGGAATCATGTCCTTTAATATCTTTAATCATTTTGAAACTTTAGATTAAATCACACTATCAGCCCTTTCTAGGCCAAATGGCAACGTATAAATGCCGTTAATGTTTTTATGCCTCTTGGCTACATCTTCAATTGGCTCTGCATGCCTGGTAGTCATCAGTCAACTGGACAATAACCACAGAGTGAAGTGATATAACAAAGATAGGCAATGTTCTTTACTTATTTGAACTTATATAGACACATTTGGGTATATCAGGATATAATTTAAGTTATTCCTACATAGATATAAAACACTAGACTGAGATGACTCTCTAACAACTGCACAACAATTGGATGCTTATGAATATTTTGAGTGTCAGTAATTTGAAAGTGATCTTGAAAGAAAAAAATAAAAATAAATGCTCTTGCTGCTCAAGAGCTCAGAATTGCCAGAATGGCCAGAAAGCCCAATGATATTTCAAAAAAAGATTCCCAGCAGCTACTGTTGTCCTCATTGGTGTGAAAATCCTTTTGATGCATGTTTGAAGTACATGTTGCCTGAGTAATAAGCAATTATAATCTATCAATTAGATTAATGTGAATTTATCTCTATATTTCAAACATAATATACAGATAAACTTACAATTATCTAATTTGTTTGTATTCAGAGAAGAAATATAGCTACTATATAGTATTTTTCGGAGTATAATACGCACCTTTTTCCTCCCCTAAAAGAGGCTGAAAATTTGGGTGCTTCTTATACTCCAAATGTAGCTTTTTCGAAGCCCTAACGAGGTGCTAATGCGGTGCTAGCGAGTGAAGCGATTTTCCCAGCTTTGCCTGCTCCCTCAACTCTCCTCTGTGCTTTAACGAGGCGCTAGCAAGTGAAGCGATCTCCATGCTTTGCTCCGACTCTCAGCTGTTCTTTAGAACAGGAGTCATCAACTTTTCAGATCTCAGGGACCACTAAATTCCTAATTTTAAATCCCGCGGACCACTAATATGATTTTTTTAAAAAGATAAATAGCATTTAGTGCAATATAAAAAATGCAAATAATTTTTCTGTGGACCACCAAAATTTTCTCGCAGACCACCAGTGGTCTACAGACCACTGGTTGGTGACCATTGCTGTAGAAGCTTTTTTTCAGCCCTAACTAGGCGCTAGCCGAGTGAAGCGATTTCCCCGTGCTTTACCTGCTTTTCTCATTGCTGCTTCCTCTCAACTGTGCCTTAGAAGCTGTTTTTTATCCTCAAGCAGGGGATAAATAACCAACAAACTAATGTGCTGAAGCTGACCAGACTAAGGACACCAGCCAGATGAATACCTGGTAGGCAGATTTTTTTTTCCTATTTTCTCCCCAAAAACTAAGCTGTGTCTTATACTCCGGTGTGTCTTATACTCCGAAAAATATGGTATTTTGGCATGGCTTTTTTAAAATACAAAAGTGGGCATAACAATACTGGATGACAATAATAGAGTATCTTAGAAACAAAATCTCAGTTTCTCTAAGATCTCCCAACCATCTCTGTTCCTGCTTTCCTTATCAATCATTATGACAATTGCAAATAACTGTAGTTTTATCTATTAACTAATCTAGAGATTAATTCTATGGAGGTTGATAGATATTCTAAACACAGTATTTCACAGCAGGGATAATTTTTGTAAAGCTGTTAGGAAAACAATAGAACTAAATACCTGTGTGATGAGAAATTGGTGATGTAACAAATCCAGAAGAGGAAGCTTCCATGTTTATTGAGTTTCTAACTTGTGGAAATGAAGAATGCCTAACCACAGATGGATGTAGCCAATTATTTGCTGTACTTCTCCTGTGGTAGACCTGTGTACAATTTTCAGCCCCATGAATACACAAGCTTTTACCTACCAAAAAGGAAAAGAGAAAAGTTTATAGGAGGCAAACTTTGAACAACTAGTACAAATTTTGGTGTAGAATCTGAAATGAAAAATTGAAAGAAATGTCTAAATTTTATGCTAATCTGGATTCATAATTTAAATCTGAACATTTCCCAGTTTTGAGAATTATTCTTGCAATATACTGTATTAAGTAGGTATACTTAAGTATCACCTTGTTATGAAGGCTCTTAAGGTACTTGCAGATTAATAGCTCCTAATAGTACCAAGTAATGTGCTCTCTTCAGTATGAAAAAAAGGGGATGGGAAACTGGCAAAATAACAATAGAGTTTATTTGCTGCTAATAAAATTCTCACATCTATACAAATATTAAAGATACAAGAACCTGTCTTTTTATATCTTATGATTACTCTCTTAGTGATTTTAAAAGATGGTAGAGGAATAGTTTATCTATATTAGAGGAAAGGTCCTGAAAAGGAGCAGATGAACTTCATTAATAACTTTCTGTTTTACCTTCAAAACTAAATCACTGTGTCAGTGTATTTACTCTCCTTATTTATAACCATAGTTATCAAATCAAATTTATTGTAATAATTAAAAAATCAATATATATATATATATGTATCCCTTCCTTCCTCTCCAATTCTTTGATTTCAAAATGTTTTCCTGAATAAAATTAAGTTCTAGCTTATTGATACAATTAGAAATTTATATTATATTAATTATATTATTTATTCTATTTATATATCCTATTTACACACATACATATTTTAAAAAGATTGATTTGAATAGCCAATGAAAATGTCACTTCTTTAAAAAGAACAGCATCACAGTAGTTACAGAGGTGATCTTAGCTTTTCTTTCCTAATGCTAATGCTTTGAGGAAAAATGTCAAACTATTCTGATTGTATAGTGGAAAATAATTTACAATATTTCTTAAGGGAATGACGAATCTATAGATGTAAATTAAAAATGGAATTTATGCTTCCATTCACTTTTTATATCAGTCCTTCCCAAAGTAAAGATGCTAGATGTCTTTGACTACAAATCCCATTATTCCCACTAAATCTCTATGGGTTGGGGAAGCTGGTACTAGCAAACTGGTAACAATAGAATCATAGCCTTCAGTTAAAATATTTGCACTGGTTAATCTGAGCCAAACTGAGCATTTTGGAAATTATAACAAAACTGGTTCTAATATATTGCTGCCTACAACTAGGGAATAAATAGAAAATATCTGGCTTCATATATTTGGCCTGGGCTCATTTGGTCCACAGAGGAGTTAGAAACTTAGCATCTACGTAAGTGCTTTTCTTTGAAATAACGACAAGCAGATAGATATTGCTTGAGATTTAAAAAAACTTTTAAAAGTTTTTTAAAAACTTGAACAAAGACCTCTTAAGGCACAAATTCAACAGTAATGGAATAAAAGGATAGGTGTTTTTGTGAACTGGCAATTACTAAGAAAACAGGATGGAATGGAGAAATTAATGGGTAATGACTAAAGAAGGTGAGGGGGAAGGGCTAGTGTTTTTTAAATTTGTACACAGATTATCTTGTTTTAGGGCTGAATGGTAACCAACAGAGATATACAGACCTAAAAAAAATTCAAAAATTACCAATCAAAAATTTTAGAGAACTGAAACAGCTCCCTTATAAAGAAAGATTACAGCAATCAAGGCTCTTTAGTTTGAAACAAAGAAGGGTAATAGGAGATATGGTAAGAGATATATAAAACATCAATCCCCCTCCCCTTTCCATTCAATTGTGTCGAATTCTTGGAGACTGCCTGGACTGGTCCCTGCAGGAACATGAATACTGGTCAGATGAAATATCTAATAATGCTGGTAGCTGTTTACTACAGTACCTTCTAAATTATACATAACCTGTCTTAAATACTGATTGACATTGGAAGAATTTTAGTGTCCTTTAGTCCGGGCTTCCTAATGCATACAAATGTCCTTTGTGTAACACAAAATGCTGGACCAGATAGGGCTGTGGCCTGATCCAACAGGGCACCATTTACATTCTTGCTTTTCTATACTAACTTTAACATCTGTGTAGATTTTTAAATGCCATGCTATCTTTATCATCTTCAAAACATAAATAAATCTTTGTAAGCCCAAGGAGCTTCCCTTTTTTAAAAATAAAAACAAATGCTTTAACTAAAAGTCTGTAGAGATTCTCAGTCATCCAGGTCAAGATTGTCCCAAAGATGCTTTTTCAGGAGGCAACTGGACTTTCTTATTTTTTCTTTGAAGACGTTTCGCTGAAGCTTCTTCAGCCCTGACAGGATAATAGAGAATGGGAGGATTTATATTCCTTGCAGACAGCTGGTCATTTGCATCCTTTTAGAGGGTCATTGAAGGTTGGGGGTTTATCTGTGCCCTCAGTTGGAGGGCACTTGGAGGTTTATCTGTGCCCTCAGGGTCACCTGAGTAGTGCTCCTGGTTCCTGTAGTCTGCAATTTTTTCTGATGAGAAGCGAAACGTCTTCAAAGAAAAAAACAAGAAGTCCAGCTGCCTCCTGAAAAAGCACCTTTGGGACAAATGCTTTAACTACATGCAATTCCTGCATAGACTGGACGTTGGTCTTACCTGCTACGTCCGTTCTCGCTATGGAGGAAACGGCAGTCAGATTGGGAATGACACCTCTATGCAGCATAGGACTGAGTCTGCTAAATTTGCATGGCTCCGCCCTCCTGGCCCAGTGTTTCGGTGAAGGCGCTATCGCAGACCAACGTGTCTTCCTGTAACGAGAGAGAATTAATAGCCACCCACCCCGTCAACCCGTCCGGGCCGGACCCAGAAGGGTGGGGCTGACTGCCGTTTCCTCCATAGCGAGAACGGATGTATCAGGTAAGACCAACGTCCATTCTCCGCATAGGAGAGAAACGGCAGTCAGATTGGGGACATACCAAAGCTGAATGTCCTCCAGGGCGGGAGAGCTCCGGCCCGGAATAGTCAAGGTTGGTGTACCACCTGCAAAACTCGACGGCCGAAGGCAGCGTCCGCTGATGCAAATGAGTCCACCCGGTAGTGGCGGATGAAAGGAGTGAGGGCCGTCCAAGTGGCCGCCCGGCAGACTTCTTCCAAGGACACCCGGGTGGCCCAGGCCGCAGACATGGCTGCACTCTGAGCTGAGTGCGCCGTTATTTGTGGAGGCACCGGGCCACAAAGTTGTTGGAACGCTGTAGCAATGGTGGCCCTAACCCAGTGTCCCAGGGTGGGGCCTGTGACCCGTGTGCCGATAGAATCTGCTTGGAAAGATACGAAGAAAGCTTCCATTTTACGAAAGGGACTCGTCCTGGAGATGTAAATCCTAATGGCTCTACGTACATCAAGAGTGTGCCAGGAGCGCTCTAGTCTGTGAACGGGGCGAGGGCAAAAATCCAGAAGAACCAGCTCCTGCGCCCGGTGGAAGATTGAGTTCACCTTAGGTAAAAAGGCTGGGTCGAGTCAGAGGACGACCCTGTCAGTATGGAAGATACACAGATCCTGGCAGATGGAGAGAGCCGGCAGCTCCAATATACGACGAGCCGAGATGATTGCAATTAGGAAAGACACCTTGAAGGACAAGAAGCACAGGGAAACCTGACAAAGAGGTTCGAAAGGCGCCGCTGTAAGGGCCCGTAGGACTTTGTTCAAGTTCCAAGTCGGAAACCGGTGGACAACCGTCGGTCTCAGATTTGTCACCCCTCGAAGGAAACTGCGGAGGAAAGGATGTCGGGCAAGCGAGTCCATGGAGCTGCAGGACAACACCGTCGAGATAGCTGTTCTGTCCCTGTCTCACACACGCACACCAGCAGTCGACCAAGAGTTAAAATAAACCAGCAGACAAGAATTTCCTTTGATAACAGAATTGGCAGCAACCCAATGGCTGCTTGCCAAAAGTTTTTACTTACAAAGGGAGGTTTATCTCCTCCGAAAACATCAAAGTAAGTCCACAAAAGCCAAAGAATACTCAAGTCCAGTCCAAGAATCAATCCAAGCAGAGCATATAACAAAGTTCCAGAAATGCAGAATGACTTGCTAGCTTTCAGTTTTGTCCGTCACAAAGCCTGAATGGCCACCACACCCCCTTTTATCCCCTGTGGGGTGTGGTCCAGTGACTCAGCTTAATCTCTGGCATGCCTCCTTCTCTGCTGTGCGCGCTTGTCTTTCCGACTCTGTCGGGGATTCAGCCAAGACTTATCTCCGTCGCTGTCTAACTGCGGCTGCTCGGAAGTGCCTGGCTCCTGGCCTATCTCTTCTCCTTCGGAAGACACCTGAGGCATTGCCAGAGAGGAGGGTCCTGGAGAGGGAGGCCTTGCCAACTCCTCTCCTTCACTTTTGGAGTCTTCTCCCTCCAATAAGACGGGCTCGGGGGTCGGAGTCACAACAATAGCTGCCAACTGGCGATGCAGAGTGTTAGGGGCCAGGCCCGCATCAAAACCCTCCTGAAGGAAGGTAAGTACG